TTAGTGACATTTGATTGGCCCTACACCCACTTTAATTGGTATTCAACTGTCCACATGTACAGATGCATGTATATACCACATGAATGTATGTCTTGGCTTCATGCAATTGTAAGTACGATGGGCCATCAAAGGGTCAAATCACACCAAGTTTATACATTTTCGGGCAGGCCTCATAATTATCGCAACCGGTAAATCGTCGCGATAACACCATATTATTGGTGATTCATCCTATATCATTACGATGGCATCACTTTTGCTACTAGAGGGATGGACGTTATCAGACATAGTGTGGTGGAACTCAAATCAAACGTAAAACCATCTTGATTTTACCGCTACTGAAAAACTCTACGAATTATCGAGGGGATGCACCAATCGTTTTATGACGGTTTGACCTTCAAGTACTCACTACCCTCCATCAATGGGCGGTACTATTAGATTGTTGCCCTAATCTTATGTCTAAATCGGCACTTCCTAAGCGTCCAACGTCCTGCCGTCTAAATAAACCTATTAACTCCGTAACTATACACATGTAGATGGGATCATAATGGATAAAAAATGTTTTTGGTGTGCATTTAAGCGAAGAAGAGCTCCGAAACATTCCGCATTTAAAGACTGAACTACTAACGCATATGGCTCTCAGAACAGTTCTAACTTCATGTCTTTTCGGAGCCATCGTATGTGACCCGGTGATTACCTTGCTGTCAGGTTTGTTTCTGCTAGCTTAGAATTCATTTTCAGTTTTACAACCTAAAACTTTAAGGTGTTTAACCAGAAGATCATTCAAATTCGCCACTTATGGATTCTTACCCGGAATTACCATAGCCCCAATACTGATGTATGCTCGAATGAAAGATCAACCGGACGAAGCATTTTACGACAGGTGCTATCGGCTACGGAGCAACAAAAGCCAGGTACAATTAGAATGCTAATGAAGATCATGTTCTTCGAATAGCTAACTTTATTCGTCTAAATTCCACTATCGAGTAGTCATTTATTTCTATAAGGGTTCATGATCATGCCAATTCAGTAACTTTTGGTCGGTCAATCCAGCCAAACTTACCCAATATCCCTATTTTGGGGAAGTCGCAATAGAAAACTGGGGAAATGTCACAAAAACTTCAAATTTTCCCAAAGTCTGGGGAAAACCCTCAAATTTACCCAAAGTTCCCCAAAATAGGGAAATTGGGTATCCCAACATACTTAAATTAGTATACTAAATTCGTTTCAAGCAGTGCATTACATATTAGAATGACTATAAGGATATATATTTCGGGTCATAAAGCCCTTACTTACTTAAGACTCATCTTAAACATGCTACCAGTTAAGAAACTTGCCTACTTCAAGATTGAATTAGGGATTTCCGCAAATACGGTAAACAACTAGTTTGTTCCATTAGCAATTTACAAAATTTTTGAAAACCACTCGTGAAGTTGTAAAAATATAGGATGTACAAACAAGTATGTAAATGAAGCGTTTACCAGCTGAGTATTTTCCACTAGTATTTATAGGAAATAAATCCAAATGAGTTTTTTTATAACAATGAAAGATAAATAAAGATCACTAACATATTTTGTCCCGAAGTTTATACACGACTTCTCAATAAGATGGGATCGATCCAAACGAAAGAAATTCGATATCTAAAGTCGTACTTACAACTGTAGTGGTGGCTGTAAGGTGTTTCTCACGAATAACTAGTGTCTCATTACAACAAATGTAAGGGTTCAATTGATGACATACTCCACCCCTTCGGAATGCCAACACTGGTTGTGAGATTCGGAGAACAATACTTATTATTACGCTAGCAAGCACACAGTGGTTATTTTAAACTTCTAGCTTTCCAGTCGCGCTCCCGGACCAATAAAGCTGGAAACTTAATACTTCCCTCCCAGGTTTCCAGAATCAAAGCATGCTAACACAGTCAACACTAGAAAACCATATTTGGGAGTTAGATTTTTTCGTAAATGCAGTTGTCAGACATCTAATGGATAGTAGATACAATGCCAATCAGTGAATACCTTTAAAGCATTCAGAATAACTGACGAATATCGGACGTCGACTTTATCTCATTTCGCTGAGACTGGTCGAATGCTTCCAACCTGACCTATTTGTACAGAAAAAAAGGGTGACAAATCTATGTTATAAGAGATATAGTTGTAGCTTAATACTTTTATCTCCTTTGTAGGCCTACTTATGTTCACACACTGATTCGACTTTGCGTCTCGCGATGTAATCACTTGCGGTGGCCATTATCATAATGTGGTCGCGTACTCTAATAATGACTAGTAACCATCCACTACTTTTCAAGACTAGTGTTTTTGTTTCATTTCAAAATATAAAAGAAGCATATCATTTTCAAACATCTAGTGCTATATTTTGGGGAAACTCTGGAAGAGGTGAAAACATTCACGTATCCGAGCAGCATCATAGATGAAGTTGGAGGATCTGATACCGACGTAAAGGCGAGATTCGGTAAATCAAGGACAGCATTCCTACAGTTGAAGAACATATGGGACTCGAAACAACTGTCAACCAATATCAAAGTCAGAATCTTCAGTACGAACGTCGACAGTTCTACTGTACAGGGCTGAAACCTGAAGAACTAGCACAACCATCATCAAAAAGGTACAAGTATTTATAAACAGTTGTCTACGCAAGTTACTCAATATGTGTTGACCGGATACCATCAGTAACAGCCTACTATGAGAGAGAACAAACCAGCTTCCAGTTGAGGGAGAATTTAGGAAAAGACGCTGGAAGTGGATAGGACACACATTAAGGAAGTCATCAAACTGCATCATGAAGCAAGCACTAACTTGAACTCCTGAAGGGAAACGGAAAAGAGGGAGGCCAAAGAACATATTGCGCCGAGACATGAATAGGATGAATAGCAATTGGAAAAGATTGTCCAGGACACAGTTGGGTGGAGAATGCGGGGTAACAGGCGTAAGTAAACGCCATATTTGTCCTTTTTCTCTGATCCTAATTCAGTCCCATTCCGAACACCCATCTCAACTTCGCCTATCAAAGTATATCAGAATTTTTTTATCACATGACTCGGTGTTTCCTTAGGCTGTTTGGGGTTCATGAGTAGCCTCAACATAGGATGGATTAGTTCCATTCTACAAATCTCGTTCTTTATTTGTTCAGATTTATAGAGTGGACAAACTTTATAAGGAAAATACTTGCTAAAATAGGAAAACGTCTCTACAGTTTAGAGATATGATTCCTAACTCGATAATTGCACAGCAAATTGTTTATAGGTAAAATGCCATTGTAATTAACACTTCGAGTGAATGTTTTTTGTTGGAGTATCAGTGAGTAGGACTTAAATAACATTCAAAATTGAATTTTTGGTTTTACCAGGAAAGAACTGACTGTGTTTCTTGTATCCCTCACTTCAAGAACAGGGGTTGTCTTATAACATATTTTCTGGGCATCCATATGAATAATAATATATATAGTTTTGTGATGTCCCAATTCGTAGAAAATTGCATTAATGACGTTCCGTGACCTTATGTAAGTCACTTCTTCAGGACAAATAATATGCGAAATGTCATTAATACAATTCCCTACTAACTGGGATATCACAAAAATATACTTATTTCTAACTTTCAACCCAATGCTCAATTTATTTGGAACTATCAAGTCCAATCTTGACACTGATACCTAAAAACCCATATAATTACTTAGCGGTTCGTGTAATTTCTTTGGTTTTATTATTTTTTCAATGAAGCTTCGTGTAGATCGTTTCAGTTATATCGGTTTGGGATGCGGCAGGATAGCAGGTTTCGCCAACGCAGCTGGACCAATACAAACAGCAATAATAGGAATGATGATTGGGACTGTAGCAGCTGTTTGCTGTAATAAAATTGAAAATAGCATTTCTACACAGAAATAGATATTAGATTTTCTGCTCAACCTCTGTTCATTTATTTCCGTAATAAATATCTTTTCCAATAATTAACTAGTTTGTGGTAACAGAATGTTTTTGCTATTTGTTATTTAGCTATGGAAAAGTCCTAAATATTTTACCTTCTTTAGTGAAGTGTATGTTACATAACTATTTTGACAATCTAGTACTGCATCATTTATTAGTGTCGATAGTTGAACAGTTCGTAGATCTAAATGACTTTAACTGTGGTATTAAGGATGATAGTTCTCACCTTTCTTCGTATACTGAGGCCTGTATCATCTTAGTCTGTGCCACTTTTCGGGCCGTTAATGTGAGTATAATTATATCCCTAATGTTCATAATCCGGTATCACGATTATGAATTTGTCCCGGATAATTAATATGAATACGATTCACCCTTCAATACAATTACTTTCCAATCCTTCGTATTTCAGACACTTTTGAGTCAGGCTGTGTAAAATCAGGAATTGGTTATGAATGTTTAGGGTATACTGCACTTCAAACACCAAAGATTGATAGGGTAAACAGACCCACATAGCCTACCATTAGAAGCATGAAGTATGTATATTTCGGAGTCCATAAATCTTTTGTTATATACTACAAGCATGCAAATTAGTTTCACCGGAAGGTATATGATTCATTTGACAAAATATAAGCACCAAACGAACAATTCACGTCTAATGTGACATTAGTTTTAGATATGGCCAACGAGCATGGGAGCTCTTGTTATTCTTATAAAGCAATTACTTTACTACTAATTGGTGTACATCGTTCCTTAATCTAAGAAACTCAATTTTGACCTCATCTGAACTATAATATAGTTCAAAAAACCATCTTGCTCACCACAAAGACCATTCCATCAATTTTGTAATCCTTAAACCACCCAGCGGCAGATTTCCGCAAATGAACTTGATTGAATATATTATCAGAGTTGTGGCTTGAAAATTGTATTTCCATAGTACCAAGTTGAATTATACTAAGTACTCTCGTGAAACTACTTCTCATAATTTAACAATAATCCACTTTCATACCTTGATGTTCTAAGCAAGATTATGATCGTCTGAGCTGAAGTAAATCAACAGCCATACTCATAAAATAAGAATTTATATTATAAATGGCATATTATGTTCGATCTGTTCACCAATTGGCAGATAGCAATAAATATTCAAAATTATCTGTCAAGCATTTACCAAAAGTTGATCATAAAAGGAAAATAAAGCAAAGTGGGTCCCATTCAAAAATAACTGTAAAGTGGAAAATAATTGAGAAAATATTTTCATATTCGCCTTCACTTCCATTTGTACTAAAAGGGAAATTGTTTCCAAAAATCAATTTTTACAAGAGAGATGCATCTTATCAAAAAGAATACGATTTCTATAAGAAAAGTCAAAAGAAATATTTCAACTTCGTTGGAAAGACTTTGATGTTCCAAATGTCCATGATTCAATACTTGGCAAGCCGTTAGGGTGCGTGAAGTTATCTGTACGTAAGACTGAGTCTTTAGGCGATAGTTTTGTTTGTGGGCAGTTGTTAATACTTGCAGACTGTAAAATTAATGGGGAGTTTTCAGTCGGTAGATTCGAAGAGGGTATAGTCTGTAAGAAGTCGTTATTACTATCACAAGAAAATAAAGTGATCTGTTCAAGTTCGTCAAGTGAAGTTCCTGACTTGCATGTTTCAATATCATTAAAACTGAGTGCTGTATCGACATTTTCGTCTTCATACTTTGACTTGAGGTTCTCCACGAATAGGGACGTATTTATATGACGACTGGATAACACACCGAGAAATTTCTCATCAATACCATATAAATCAGTAGTAGCAGACTTCTTTTCATCACTAATATCTTGTTTAGAATTTAACACCTGACTGTCCTTTATAACATATTTTGTACTTAGTCTTTCTCTTGGATAACTTATATTATGGTTACAGGTGCTCGGCAAGTTGTTATATTGAGATTCAATATTTCCTAGTTTGATTTCCGACAAAGGATTAGAACTTACTTTATCATGATTAAATCCAATTTTAGAGGAAGTCGGAGGTAAGTATGATGTAGTGCTGTCAGTTGTTTGTGTAATGAATGGCTGAAAACTTAAATTATTTATATTAGTATCCAGCAGCATGCCATTTAACATTGAGGAATTTGTTTTAATTGGGATTACTGTAGACTGCCTAATAAAAGTCGCTTTGGGAGGTTCACACAGGAAAGTACGATATATCATTGGTTGTTTATTTACAAGTTGTTGAACAGTTGGTGACTGTATATTCAAAATTCGAATTTCCTTGATTTGATTTCCCTGGTTTAGTGACGATGGTGATATCAGGGATTCAGTTATTCCGTCAGTAGTTTGACATGGTATAATTTTATGCAATTGATAAGTTACATGTTCGATGTCCCCACTATCAGTAACTAATAATGTCATTGTTTCGTCGACTTCTTTATTTTCCTTAGAAATATAGTTGTCATTTATGGCAGGTGATATGAACACTCTTTTGTCATATGGATTGTTAACACGTGTTGCATGGGAATAATTATAATCTACTTTTACTGGTTGGTATAATTCCATGTTCAATTTATTATTTACCTGTGGATTTGGTTGTAAGTAATTTCTGCAGCAATTGATAGAGTTAACAACAGATGTTCGGTTTTGTTCAATTATCATTGGCGTTTGGTTTTGAGCATGACTTTCATCAGAATTTTGATTGTTCAAGCGAGTGGAAAAATTTTGATCAACGGGAAATGCATTATTCTCATGGTTCATTTTACAATTATTGTTGTTATTAGGCGTAATCGATTTCGATGTAATTTGTACGACGATTTCTGACTTGGGAATACATTCATCAGCTTCAATTTTGTTGTCATCGCTATTTACATTACGTGCACGTTTTTTAGGTTTATACTTATAGTCAGGAAATTCTATGGCATGTAACTGTTGCAAGCGAAAAGCTTCATCTATGTATTTACCACGCATTTTCAAATCTAGTTTTCTCCATAGTTGTCCCACTCGTTGACTTATGTGTACATTAGGTGCATCGGGGAACCAGTGCAGTATGATTCTTCGAAGGTATTGGGCGAAAATCTGTAGTGATTCATGAAAAAGGAAAATATTCGTAAAAATTCGCGAGTGAAATTTCGAAAAGATATACATAATGAGATACACCAGTAACTGTTACTGATGTTTAAACGATCTACAATAAGTTCACTTTCACATCGTTTATTCAACTAATAATTTGAAACTGACACTAATAAGAAAATGGCTGAACGTAGTTCTCTCATAACCTAAACAAGCTTATAATCTTAGTTGTGCAGATTCATCTAACTCTATCCACTTACAACTTGATATGCAACATCGTTCGAGTCAAGATGAAAAAACCAGTAGTTAGAATTTGAATGGTCGATAAAACACACTTCTGGTTGAACTCCATATGATATATATCAGTTATGGAAGAATTGAAATATCAATCCTAATAAAAGACCACAAGTTAGTAGATTTGCCCTTTTACATTTTCATACAACTTGGATCAACTCGTATCCACCATTTCTTCTCAACACTAAATGTTCTAAACCTAGTCTAATTTTCACTTCATTAGTGAGCTTGTTGTGGTGTATTTCTTAAACATTTAGGGATCTGAAACGATAATGTAAGGATGTAAATTTAATATTGCTTAGTTCTTTGATTTTCATTTACATGAAATAGGGTTAAGTGACATTAAACAATGAAGTACTGTGAGACAGTGCTTTTCCATGTTGGCTTGTTCATCTATCCGTAAATTACCTGTGGCCGGTTAACAATAATGACAATTAGCAATATTTATCTGATCAAATAAGGAACAAAAGTGGTCCATCCAAGTTCCAAAGAGGTTCAGAATGATAGCTAGTTGTTGTTTCCGAAAGCTGATCAAAGAACCAAATATTTTAATTCAGAAAAACATGGCTACTTATATCATTGCAGTCCTAAACACCAATGGGAAGATTCAAACAATCAATACAAAAATGAATTAAACTTCATACCACTGCACAAGCTAGGACGAAATGCGTATCCTGGCTTCCACTACTAGCAACTGTTTATCTCTGCTTATAACGCTTGTGACTAGAAGTAATCAGAATAGGATGCACATGTGCATGTACTCACTGCCTTACATGCTGTTAGTTTTGTTATCGTGCTGCTGTGGAATGTGACGATTTGTGATTGGATAACTTACACCTGAATGCTGTCATGAAACACTAAAACAGAAAGTCTGTCTACGGTAACCATGACAATGCGTCAGTCTAAAATTACTTGCCCTCAAATGTCCTGGTACGGCCGAAAGTAGGGAGAGTCCACTCTCCCTCTCGAAATGCTCTCACATGGCCACGCGTATATAGCCTCTGTTAGGGAAGTCCTACGCACTGCCTTCTCGAGGCGCGAGTGTTGTTTACGAAATTGAGAAGACGAAAAGCGAAAGTCCGGAGCTTTAACCGAGTTGGTGGACATGGAGAGTCCACCTGGGGGAGTTGGAAAACCCTAGTGTACATGGGCTCCAGTATCCTGAGGGAACAAATGGCATATGAACCAATTATTGGTCACCGGCAATTGTTGGACCGCATCTCCTTACGTTGCTCCACTGCTTTGTGGATCAGACCTTCAGGTCGAAGGCTCCGATGTGACCCCCTAAGAAAACCACTTGCTTCGGTTTGGGCACCCGAGCAGTATTACAGCTTTCACACATATCAAATGAGATCTGTGTGGCGCATATGTATTTGTTACCTCCTTGTACCCATATATATATGTGTTAAAATAAAATAAAAATTTCAATAAAATAATCATGACTAACAGTCACATCATGAAAAAAGAGTGAAGTCAAAACATCCATGTAAAGTTTAAGTGATTTATTCGATAAATGATTATTCGTCTGAAAAGCGCATCTAGAAATGATGCTTACTGCCAAAGTTACCCAGTGTCTTCTGAATAATAACTACACCTTCCTGTTTAACGAATAAAAAAGGACTCGCAAGATAAATGATGAGTTAATTTTTTTGTTAATACACACTACGAAGTTCAAACTTTTTTCTATAAATGAACTAGAAATTTCGAATAACTAAGCAGGAAGATGAGTTTAACTATCTAAGATAGTTCACAATGGAGTTTATCCATGTTCACCGAGCAATGAATGAGTTTAGGAGGAATTCGTTTTTCTATTTGTTGTTTGAATTGTAGCGGTATATAAATCCCAAAAATAAATAGCTGCTGGGCATATTAATTTCAATGAAGTCACCTAGCTGAAAGCGCTCGGTCATGCGTCTGCACCAGATCACGAGTGGGAACGCCGTGTTCAACAAACCCTGTAATCCCAAAAAGGAACAGACTCACAATTTGCAATCTGGTGTACCAGATCACATCGGGCTCACCAATGAAGATGCCACAGGTATTCGGAGTTTGACAACGCTTTAACCAGTAACACTTAATATGAATCGTACCCACCAAGTGAAATCAAAAGACAGAAGCGAGAAGATTCGAAGATATATTTGATGGGCTATCAATATATCGAGGATCGCCTGATCTAATCTGGCTAGCGATTACAGGGGTTGTTGAACACGGCGTTCCCACTCGTGATCTGGTGCGGATGCATGACCGAGCGCCTTCAGCTAGGTGAGTCCATTGAAACTAATATGGTCAGCATCCAATGTCGAAGACTTACAGAGCTATTTATTTTGGGGATTTATTTATCGCTATAGAATCTTCACATCGACGTTCAGGACTGTAATTGACCAGTCTCTTATTGGAACATGTGCATTCTCTCTGGATTGCCTGATATTGCCTTAAGTCGCAAGCATTATAAGCAGTGATAATGGTGGTTTATAGTGAAATCCATGATGCGGGTTTCGTCGGTGGGAAGATTTAAATAACCAATACGAAAAAGAATTAAACTTCATTCCTTAGCACAAGCTGGTGGCGACCTGGGCTCAGTTTCTAAGGTGGTAACGCGGTGGCGTTTCAAGCCAATGGTATTGAGCTCAACTCTGGGATGCAAGTACGTCCAACTGATGAGTCCAAAATGGGACGAAACGCGCATCCTGCATTCCAATGCTAATCACCATCCATCTCTGCTTATAATTTAGGATAAAATCATAAACATACTTTTCAAATGATTTATATACCTTCGTACAGATAACAATCTTTCTTTTGGATCGATTTCTACCTGAACGCTTGAAAATGTGTCAACAAATATCGAACTTAAAATAACTTTTATTATCTTACGATACCAATATTATGTACTGTAGACCTATCAATATACAAAGGTAAGGTTGATATATACCTTTTAGCGCAATAGATGGCAAAATAATGATGATTAAAATATAGACTTCATTAATAAAAGTGGACGTAGAGAGATAAACGCAAGACATCTTATAAGACCCACTGAAAGATTATGATTCATATAGTAGAAAAATAATCAAAAAATCTACAATCCTATTATTTATGATAAAACGTTCATATGTTAATTATTACCCTGTAAATAAAACTTACAAGTGAGAAATTTAATAAGTATAAAACGGTGTATTAATTAATGAACATTTCAAAGTAAATAACATTAGCTAAAAAGCCAAACATAACAGGAATATGATACGAAGTATAACTTCAGAGAATTGTTACCATCATCAAATTTATTTAAATGAAATAACAAATGAAAGGCCTACTATAAACCTATAAATTCTATGCTACAACACTACAGGCAATAATAAAGAATCGACACGAGAAAATAAATAACAGCGATTGTAACAACTTATATCAGCCAACTATAGTGTGAAAAAAATAACGCAGTTTTTACAAATGCCAATTACAAAACAAATGTACTATTACAGGAGTGAAAAAAAACTTAATTTGCACATGTATCACAGTAACAGGTTCGGGCAAACAAGTCTCAATTAACATAAACATTATCAACAATGAAATAATCTTTTAGCCTGACTCCTATGTTAAATACCGTATATAATTGACTCGAGTGAGATACTAGTATTTGATATACAGAAGTGATTCAATGGATCACCAAAGATGAATGAATGTACTAAATATTCCCTTTCATCATTATTTATGCTACCTTTAAATACGTGAAATCCTGAAAATAAATTTTTCAATTGGGAGTTAGGGGAATAGAAGCTGAGATAAATAATCCTGCTATAGAATAATAGCACGACTTTCTAGCCATTACCCGTCAAGCTGGAATTTTGCTCCATATCATTTAATATAGGCAGTCAATAAGTATGACTAGCCCTTGAAATACTATATGACTAAAAGCTGAGTACATGAAACTACTTGATTGCAATGTTATATAAATCGTATTTGCTTAAGAATCAATAAAGGAATAAAGTAAATAAATATAGTTGAAATATAAAAACCACCAGGAAAACTGTTTGACAACAAAGGCCTACCATAAAACTATTTAGCGGTCGAGGAATTGCAGATGCTTTACGTTTTTTGTTAGAGCCAACAACTGCGGTATAAGGATATTTTTTTTCTTTTTCACTAAGACGATCAGCACGTGAACTTGGCCAATGAACTGGTATAGGATGTAATTCACCTAAATGATCCATCCAAGAATCTAATGATTGAGATCGTAAATCAGAACATTGATCACACATTGTGAAGTCGAAAATCCCATTCGAAAATATGTTTGGACTGGGTACAATGGATGATGAGTCCGATAAAATGCATTCATTATCAGTCGATTTGTGTCGACGAACAGAACAAACATCATATGAGTTATTACCCAAGGAATGAGTTCCAAGTTTTCCGCAAGGGCTACTTGACTGGGATCGTGTTGGACGTTTATGGATTATTACTGACTTTATGGGTGAAGCTGACGCAGAACAGCTCATGTGCAAACGTTTGGCACTTGGAGTTAGTCCACTTGTACGACTTGAATATTTATTTTCTTTTGCCATCATAGAAGTTGGGTGTGGATCGGTGGTAAATGAAGACTGGTTCTTCAATTTTTTTGTTCGTTTATGTTTACCTCTAGTTGATGTAGTTGGTGATAAAGAGAGGAAGTTATGAACACTTGGTGAAACATTCAAATCCAACTTTTCAGATTTTTCTACTGTCAAAGAAATGTCTTGCGTTCTTCCAAACTTCAGTAAAGCCATGACATAATTCAAATAATAGGTGATTCAGTTGATCGAATGATATCTTGCACAGTACTAAATTAATATGATTCCAAGATGGAAAATGAAGAACGTGACTATGCGCAAATAAGGTTTATCGGTCCCATCATGTTCACCCTATGCTCTATTAGGTCTAAGCCATAAGCTTTTATTCAAATGTGAACGGCATATAAATGGCCTGGGGGTGAGAAAATTTATAGCAGTCCTTTTCAGGGTCAATTCATTTATTCAGCCCATTGGGTCTAGAACCATGTTAAAACGTGTTTGGGTGAGAGAGATGAGAGTAAACCCCACTCTTCGCCCCCCACCCACCTCATCACCTGACATGCGAAAATCGATTTTAAGTTTACATGTTATGAGACGCATCATCCTCCTCCCCCTCCCAATCTAGCCACCTGGATTTCAACCACTCACAGAGGTGAGTGGAATAACCTTCGTGTTTATTTTCCTCCTATCCAATAATGAATAATTCATCATTTAGAATTAGTGAATTCAGTTACTTTTTTCAAAGGTTAGGCCATTTTCACATCAGTCATGAACAACTGAATCATGTCATTTCAGATGACTCGAATATTCATTTCAGCAGACAATAAATTCAGAATAGAATATTAGTCATCCCATGAGACACATTAGAAACACTCGACGTGATTTTTTCATACAGGACCTTGGTGATACTAATCGTAAACAAATCTCATGACCTAATCCCACCTGCATTTCATTGGTCATAAATAATACTTAGAGAATAACATTTTTTTAATGGTTTTACCAAAAATAAATTTTTGCCAGGAAGAATCTAATTTGTATATCACTGCTAGAATACGGGAATTTCTATGACGTTTTCTCAAGCTTATGTAGGTCTAAATTAGTGTTGAACGCTGGTCTAGTATATCTGGAGGCTGGAATTTGATAAATCACGATCTGTATACAAATATCGTAACTAGAGAATGGACTTCGTACAACAAACTGTGACAACCTCATTGAAATCCTGAACAAACCAGTGAAAAGCCGAAAGCACTGGATAGCCCTTTCGTTCTGGTAAATACTACTCTGGAGTGCATATCCACGATCTTGTGCGCAAACAATTAATCACTACACCACTGAACTAAGGCCCAACGATGTCAATATTTAACCTCGGTCAATTCACAACATTCCATAAATCTAGTCACTTCATCATAATTGTGATTGTGTGTGGGCTGTGATACTGCCCGGGTGCCCAAACCGAAGCAGGTGGTTTTCTCAGGGGGTCACACCCCGAGCCTTTGACCTAAAAGTCTGACCCA